CGACCCGGCCTCTCCGGCAAGGAGGAAACGAGGGGTCCACGGCTACCTGCTCCGGACGGGGACGGGAGAAGAGCGCGGTTAAACTCAGGCGCAGCCGCCGCCGCCGCCGGCGAGGCCAAGGAAAGGGCGGGGCTACATATAGGCCCCGCCTCCTCCGCCACCGCCCTCCCTCCTGGGGGCGGAGGCGGGCCTAGGACGCGCGCCCGCGTGAGGTCCCGCCCCTGAGGCGCTTCCGATTGGAGGAGGCCAGCAACGCTCAACTGCCGCCATAGGGAAGGAGACCGCGCGCGCATTCGGCGGAGCGAAAGGGGAGAAAGAAGAAATAAAAAGGGGCCAGAACATTCGCGCACGCGCGCCTCGTTAGACTTATTTTTTCTTCTTTAACTTCGGCATTAAACGAAAAAGGGGGAAGGCGCACAAGCGTCTTCGCTCAAGCTCTCGCGAGATAAACAGCGCTTATCCTCTGGTGGGGGAAAAAAAATGCCCGGCTTCGCTCATCACGAGGGACCGCGGATGCGCGCGTCGAAACGTGAGCACATGGACACGCATAACACTCCCCCCCAGGTCTTCTTCCCTCCCTTGTAGAGCTTCCGCTTTTCCTCCCCTGCCCCCTCCGCGAGAGCAGCGACGGCCTCCGCGAACACTTACAATCCGGCTGCCGTTGGAGTCAGGATGCGGCGCGTGCGCGCTTCCGGCCGCCTCCCGCAGCTTCGCCTTTCGGCCTCTCTTCTTCCTTTCGGGATTGCGTACTCTCCGAATGGCCGTCACAGCCGGATCTATTTGCCGGTCGGTCTGGCCCTGTATCCCTCCGCACAGCTGGACTGGGCTGGGGCCTGGGGGCGTCCTCGCTTCGTCGGACCCCCCGCAACTGGGATATTACGCACTGACGGTTACTCTTCCTCGGTATCTCCAGAGTGTTCACGAGCTGGTTGACTTGAGTAAATCCTCATGAAGTTAGAAGCCTGGAAGTGGCCAAGATTAAGGTGCCCTTTTTTAAGAACAGGAAACTTTTTTTTCCAACCCTGACCCGGGTTGAGGTATAAGCTCGGAAGTAAGTTCTTTTATTGAACTTCTGAAAAATCACATACAATATTGGGCTGCACATTTGAACCCTACAATAGATTACAGCCTGAAACAATAAATATATTGCATCATGCTATAATCCATAAACCATAATTACTTGGGTTCACACATGCTAAAAATCATTAACTTTGATTTACAAATCAGGTTGACTGGGTTCACAAAAACATGCTAAGCCACCAAGAAACAGTAAATAACAAACCTGTGTTTCTCTCTCTTCTCCCCCCCCCCCCCCCCCCCCGGCAACCGTCTTCCATGTCTCCATTGCTTTTTTTCAGCTGGTCAGTTTTGGGATTCACATATGTTGTATTTATGCATTAACCATAGTTAACTTAGCCACAGGTTACTGAATTAAGATTTTCTAGGGTTGTATAGCGCATTGAAGCATAAATCTCTAGCCCAGGGTGTTTGGCTAAAATGGGATTGGCTAGTTTGTAGCTCACCAAAATGTAAAGGGAAAACAAAATATTGTATTCAATATCAGAAAATACATCACTGTTTGTCCAACATGAAGGATGGATTAAAATATGGGTACTAGATAAAGGAGTGGTCCCAATCCTAGTTTATTTCAGTTTCCTATATCTCTGCTTAAGACAGGACTAGAACTTGGATCTCCTGATGCCTTAATTACTATGCCAAACTCTCAATTTCTTTATTTTAAAGTATCTTTATACTGTCCAGATCAACACAGACCCTGGCAATTTACAAATACAAAAATAACATCTATTTAAAGCAATATATTTAGAATACAAATGGTTACCTGATCAGCCAAACGCCAACAGCATAATGCCAAAATGCCTGTTCAAAACAATACAATTCTGCCCTACTGAAGACTAAAAAAAAAAAAAAATGCCAGTGGTGCTTCTGTGAACATGTTCCAAAAAATGGGCACAAAACAGGGAGAGTACCTTCAAGCCCATGTTGCCTTGAATTCTCAACATCCCTTCCTTTCATGAACACTTGGAGGAGATAGTCTCCAACATATCCTAGAGCCATGACATATAATGCTGTATAGGTCAAAACTAGCACTATGAGATGGACTTAGAAGCCAAATGACAGCTAATGCAGCAACCAAAAGGTAGGTGTTATGCTTGCCAATCAGCTCTTACTTGCTGTTATCTTGGCTACTACATTGTAACAACTGTAGCTTCTGAATTGTTTGTAAAGGCAGCCCCTAGAGACTGTGTTACAGTAATCTAATCATGTAGTAATAAGGTAATGAATTACTGTTGCTAGGGCATCCTGGTCTAGGTAGGACTGCAACTGGTATATTAGCCTCAGCTGGGTGAAAGCCCCTTTGGCTGCAGTTTCCATCTGCAGGAGGAAGACCCACAAATTGCAGATCTACTCCTTCAGCAGGAGAGCGACCCCATCTATAACCAAAACCCAGTATTTCTAGACAAACAGCAACACATTTGCTGGACTTTAGTTTGAGCTTGTTTCTACCTATCCTGATATAGCCTCCAGATACTAGATTAAAATGCCAACAGCACTTCTGGTTTGGCCTGATATGATGAGGTATAACTGAATATCAGCAAAGTGATGATACCTCACCCCAAACTGAAGGATGACCTCTCCCAGTGGGCTTATACAAATAGCATGGAGATTGTTGAGCCCTGGCACATCCAGTAGTCTCATCGCTTCATCTCCAGCATACATATACACACACACTCTGGAACTGCCTGCTAAGGACCATGACCAGGACTACTACAAAATGGTGCCTCCAACTCCTAACCATGTAGGCAGTCCAGTAAGATCCATGATCAACAGTGTCAAAAGCCACTGAGAGGTCTAATACTGTAGAACCAAGAAGGGTGTGATTCCCACCCTCTAGATTCCAACATAGATCATTCAGCAGAAAAACCATTGCAGTTTCCATCTTAGGCTTGGGTATGAATCCAGATTGAAAGAAGCCTAGATAACCATTTTACTTACTAAGATTTGAAGCTGAGACAACTTAACCTTTTGTTTAACTTTCCCCCAAAAGGGAAAGCTGTAATAGGGCAATAGTTCTCTAAGCTGAATCAAGAAATAGCTTCTTTCAAGGCTGGTGGCATCATGCCCTCTCTTAACTTGTCATGGGGAGAATGTCCATATCACAACACCAGCTTTTACGAGAATCCTTACCATCTTTCTGTTAGATCAAATGGACTTGTTATAGAATGTTATTTTGCTTCTAATTTGATCAGTAATTGAAACTCTTTGATCAGATTACACAAAGAGTTTCTAAAAATATGACAAAGAAAATAGTAAAATAAGTTTCAAGTTAAACTTTAAGGCCATTTTTTTAATAATATGGTACTTTGATAATAGGTGCAATCACATTGGGTTAAGCCCCTTACTGTACCGGAGTTATTTTAACAAAAAATAGATATTGATCTATCTTAGATGTTGTGGATTTCTTGACTATGGTGGCAGGTTAGGCTGGGTGACCTAAAAGCCTTTCAGTTGTTTTTTAATTGGCAACCTTTCATATTACTTCCTGTTTCAGATATATTTATTGTAACACTTGACATAGATTTTTTATCATGAATAAATATGTGAGTTCCAAATATGGAGGCATATTTCGCTTGGATGTTGTCTAAAATGGGTAGGAAGAAATGCAAGCTTTGGTCTAAATCTAGATTTCTAGCAACAGCAATCTCTCTCTCCCATGACAGCCTGCTGGATGGATAGGCAGATTAAAGTAGGCATGCTCCATCCATTTTGGGCTCTAGTTCTGTCTTCTGCTAGTTTTTGCCCTTCAGCTACTGGCATGCAATACCTAATAACCATTGTTACACATGAGGAAATGTGGCCATCCCTACACAAGGATTTCTCATTCCTGGGATTGAACCTGTGGAAGGAGAATATGTGATATACTTCCTCATCACTCCATAACAGTCATATTCCTATACTTTGGGGATCCAAAAATACATTAGATTAATTATATTCAAAAATACTTTTATACCAATTTTAATCATTTAAAAATCTGATTTAATTATTTTTAGCCATTGTTTTTTTTTTCTTTTGGGTGCTGTCAAAAGAAAAGTTAACATGTGAAATAAATAAAACATTTTTTTTTAGAAGTTTGTCCACAAATCAGTGGCACATAAACAATTCCAATGTGAAGATTCAGGCACAAAGGATGCATGATTTGCAATAAATGTCTTCTGAGAAAGGTTTATCATGAGGCAGGCAAGGTGAACACCATTAATTCCTGAGATACATATAGATGTATGTTAGGCAGCCATTACTCATGTTTTAGCTGACTCCACCCATCCTCCCTCAAGGTGATACTTCTTACAGAAGTACACAGTTTGGTTTCTTGAGCTTCCCCCTAGCTAGCTGTCTCACCTGGCTTGAATAATTTTTAAATTATTTTAATTTTAAAAATCCTCTAGCTTCATCCCTATTTAGAAGACTGCCTCTAGGCCCTCCATGGGTCACACAGCATTCTTAGAATGGGTATCAGCAGTCCATTCCGTGTTTTGAAATTATATGCCTACTCAGAAAAAAATAAAGATAAGCTTGGGTGATAAAGAATATTCCAGGGATAGGAGAAAAGAATCTTACTACTTTGCT